GAGGTCTGTAAGCGGAATTTGTGAGCGTAGGCATATGAGATCCCGAGGGGGGAGAAGGGCTTGTCCTCATGATGAGCTGAGGAGGTGAGAATGAGGAATGAGGACGGCGCTGACGTGCCTCCGCTCCGCAACCCACGACCGACGACGCAGGGAGACCGCAGCATCGAAGGGACAGGGCGAACGAAGAAAGGAAGAAGAAGAAAAGGAGCACGTACATCCGAATTGCCCGCTTCGTCGTTACCGGATTCAGGTCGTGCCTCTACCGCAGCGTCTAATTACACGCGCCGAAGAGTCCGCCGAGTGGAGTACGGCGTTGCGGAGTCGTATCTGGATAATGAGAATCAGTATGTGATCGTGTACGTCGAGGTGTAAGGGAGGGGCGGGATAAAGGCGGCGGTACCGTGCGGCAGCGGGGAGCGCAGGGACATGTGGAGCAGGATAGATAGCGGGATCAAAAATCAAGAAAAGATGCACACCGGACAGTTCCCCGCTCTCCGCACTTGGATTCGCGCCGACAGCGCAGCGACGTTGGGCAGCGGCATGTAGCGCAGCGATGCTGTTTCAGAGCGCTGGATAAAAGGAATGAGTAATGGATCGAAAAGAGATGCGTGCGTGGTGTGAGGAATAGGGAGTAGAGGCGGGCAGGGAGGGAAGGAAGGGTGCGAGATGAGGCAGACTAACAGCTTGCCGTCGTATAAATCGTCGCGATTGGCAGCTTGCAGCTTCACAGGTCCATATTAATCAGTATTGAGTGTAAGGAGACCGCGGTGGGCGGTGATACCGGTGCCGCGCCGTGGTTTGAGCAGAGACTAAAGCTCCAAGAAGGACAACGAGCTGAAGCGCCAAGGTCAAAAGAAAGACCAGTATTGAGGGTGGAATGCCACGAATCGGACCAGAAGGCTTGATATCCAGAGCAGCGCCTTGGAAACACCGCGAAGAAAGTCGAAATCGAGCCCTCCACCGCTGAACTACAGGTTCATTCCTCGCCCGCCTGTCCCACGATTTTAGCCCGGTTTTGTTACTGGGGACCGGTGGGGATTGGCCTATTCGTTTGCATGGGCCTTGAACCATCTATGTGAAGCGCCAGTAGGCCGTTTGTATGTACTGGCCTCTCGAGGGCGAAAACGAGGTGGAGGGAGAGATCAACAGGGGTATTTGGTTCGAATGCCGACAACCTTCGGAACCAAACATCCTTGCCTTTCTCCAAGTTGGAGCTTTTGAGATTTCGCCCTGGTCACGTGTGCCCAGAAAGGCAATTCGCGTGGCATGTTTGTTCCATGATTGGAAGTTGCCGACAAGCGGCGGGCACAAACAGTTTTGGTCAGCGTAATGACAAGTGGGTCACGTTTCGTGCACCGGCACGTGTTGTTTGTGCGGACATTTTTGGTCTCTAGAGCACATGATTGGTAGAGGCCGGCAAGCGGCGGGGCAAAAACAGAACTCTTATTCAGGATACGAGGATTAGCACAACCGATTATGCCAAGAAAATCCCGCTGGCTTTCTTTCGTTTGGCAAGCGCGGGTTGGTTTCGGTAGGCGCGGCATTGCGGCGACGAACAGAAGACATCAGAGTAGCAGTATCATTCGCAGATATTTGCTCAGAACACAAGAGCCATATTCTCAAAATCAAAATCCCCTTGCAGGAGAGAAAGGCGGCCAGGTATTCATTTTTCGATTCAGTTGCCGAAGATGCCGAGCGTGCCGAATCCCCGAGCACTGATTTCTTTTGAAACAAGCAAAGAAAATGTGCAGGCAGCCATCGGACCATACCAATTTGTACTCGAGACTCTCGCCCGATCTCGTTCCTCGGTCGGCTCGAGTCCCTCGTGCGGGTGCCTTTAGAGAATATTTCCTGTGAATCGGTCAGCATAGATGACTGCTAAATTGATTGGACAAGGTCACGTTTTTTGGCGACATTCTTGGAGATCAAGAGCAAAAACCAGAACTAGGTTCTATTTTTGAAAAAGAACTAAAGTTCTGTTTGTGAATCGCCGAACCGGCGTGTCAGCTCGTCTCGTGTTTGTCGGGACAAACAACAGCACTCTGCTCCCTCCACCACCCACTGTTCCTCTACCCACTAGCCTGCTCAGTGCTGGCACCAAGCTGGCGCGACATCAACATAGAGGCATCCTGCCGACACGCACTCCTGGGGTTGATGGATTTTGGGCCCGAAACATGGCTTCCAAACATGTGTTCAGTTTAGCACAACTTTTGGAGCCTGCTCAAAAATGAACCGAACATAGTTGATTTTTGGATCACCTTTAACTCTCAAATTCTAAGAATGTTCGAGTATCTAAACATGCCGAAACATGTAAGATGTTTGATGTCAGTTTGGGCCGGAAAAACCCTTTGGTTCGGGGCACAAACATGCCAAATCTCATTGTTCTTCCCCTGTTTCAAGCCTAAACAGGTTGATTTTTGGTTTCAGAAGACTTGGGGAACATATCAGATTTTCTGTGAGAATTTGGGTTCGAAAAATGGTGTATGTTTGCTGGTCAATTGAGTGCCCAAACATGGCTTATTTCTGGTTTGTATTTGACTTGGACCCAAACAGTGAACCAAAAAGAAAACATGTTTGGAGCCGATGTTTTGGTCCCAAACAGCCATCAGCCCCTGGAGTGACGTATACCTCAGCAGTGAGTCAGTTTTTGCATGAATATGGGTTAACATTTATGCCACCTTGCTCGCGCGTCCACTTGGCACGTGTCCTGTCCAGGAACACGATGCTAGCAGCTCCCTTCGACTCAAATTTCGGCTGTTGTGCGACAGCTTGTGCATAACGTCGCGCGACTTGCGCCGTGTCGCGTCGCGGTGGCACGGTTTTCCTCATGCCTCGCAGTGAGTGGCATCGCGTACTTTTCCGCTCTTTGTGCGCGTTGTGTATCCAAAATAGATGAAAATTACTTTGACCTCCGGGAATTGGCTCATTTCTTAGCCCAACGGCAAATTGTTAAGAACAATGGTGGTTCACAACCTTGCGAACCAACTCGCAAGCAAGATACCAGATTTGGTCGGAAAACAAATATGACACGCAAATTTCCTTTTTTGGGGGCACGTGACCAGGGCGAAAAGTTCACAACTTTCTCTAGGGCCTTGTATATAATTCCTGGCGACTCAAAAACACGTTTTTAATACCGGTATGTAAACAAGGTGTTTATATACGTGTTTACAAACCGTCGGTGAAATTTCCCACGGTTCCACATGGTCGTGTTCAAGTAGGTCTGGATCATGAAAAATGGGTAGAAACAGTCTGATAATTGTTATGCTGCACTTAATCCACAGGGAAGGGCTGAGTGATCCTCCATAACACAATTCTAGAGGTCAAAATCTGCCCAAAATCCTCCAGGAAGTTGCCGAGAAGGCCCTCGCAGTTGCCTCGCAGTGAATAAAAAACGGGGCTTTTGAGCCGTTCCATTTAAAAACGGGTTTATAAACACCGGTTTATAAACCGGTTTGTAAACACGAATAATATACAAGGCCCTCCCTTTCTCCACTTTGTTTTGCCCCTCATGGCTTGCCCGGGGTATTCTTCTTCGCTGCAAGATTCAAGACCTTGTTGTGTCCTCGTCAAGGCCGAATCCTCTGTCGCCTCTCATTGCTTTTTTCTCCTATTAGGCAATTTCTTGGCAATTTCATTTATTAATAAATTCACAACTTCCATGCTCGTCGCGATCGGTGCGGACTCAGGGGCGGGATCTCGAACGGCCCAACAGCGCCTTTTCCCAAATGTGACACATACAAACCTGCATCTTGAATACAATCGGCGTACGCCGGGCTTCAGCTTGGTTAACGTTTCGAGCACAAGAGGCAAGCACCATTGAGCCGAATCCACCCAAGACGCCGGCTTGGTGCCCTCTTATCCATACGGCACGATAGTCGATCCCACCTCCCGGATATCGGGCCTCGTTCAGAACGAGTCGTTCTTCTTCCATCCTTCGATCAGGTTACTTCTCGAGTCTCGAATACATTCTCCGCTTCGCGCTTGGTGTCTCTTTGTGCTCCCCTTCTCAAACCTATTATCCTTTTCCACACAATCACTCCCGTTTCCTCAAAGCCCGCGCTGAAATATTCGAAATTTTAGCGCAGTCTGGGCGATCCACCCTGCCGTCAAGTCAATGTAAGGCGACAGAGTAGTGGAATTGAGATTACTCTTTGAGTCTCTCGATCCCGTAGACGCCGTACTACCGCCCGCGCCGCCCTCGGCCACAACTTGCAATTGATTGATCCGCCTTCCCTGACACTGGTCAACTCCCTCAGATATCTAAGTACTGGGTGAACTCGCCAAAAGTCCAACATTCCGAACGATCTTAGTTCCGGTCGGCTTGAAGAGCAACTGCTCTGACGCTCACCGGCACCCTTCGCGCTCCTTCATAACTCCTTTCATTCGCTCTCCCATCTCCCATCGTAACCCTGTTCTCCGACCCTTGTAGCCCTTCCAGACCTAATATCCAAGGCACTTCCGAGTCCTTTCTTTCCCAATGTTCGATGTTCCAGTGCTCAGTATGATTCCGTCAAGCCACGGTCTGAGTAGAATCTTGTGTTACGCCCACCAGCCATCAGTTGGTACAAAACACCGTGCCGTATGCCTTGTCGATCGAACACTCACGGCCGAACCAATAACAAAGCTTCCCTCTTTCAACTATTACATGCCTACTATTTCGACCTATTTGATCAATCCTCCGACGCTGAGAGCTCACTCAATCCAAACTCTCGCGTCAGAAGCTCGACTCCGGATATCCGCACGGACGCCTCAGGGAATGATGGCCGGGGAAGAAGGAGTCAACACCTGTTACTGTTACACCCCTGCTTTACTTTGGACTATACACGTCGGACACAAACCCCGGCTGCAGTCTTCCCTGTAAACCCTGCATAATGAGAGTTGGCTAATGCACTGTGATTCGTTTGAGCCAATACGTCAAAGCAGTAAAAAATAAAGGGACTACTGTTAGGCGCACGAAAGCCAGGATTGTGGAAAAATGACAAAACAACGACTAACAAATATGCATTAAGGGGGAATCGAACCCCCGGCGGGTCGAACTTCTAGATTAGAAATCCAAATGGCAACGACCCAGGTTACCACTACCCCATTAATGCTATGCTCCTGAATGAACCAGGAGTCGCTATGGATAGATACCCAAAAAACGCACTAAGTCCGATAGGGGCAAGGGACTTGTAATTTCTCAATTTTTTGTTATGTTGGATTAGTGAATTGTATCAAGGGAGGTCCCAATGACAGCCGGGTTACTCTGACGTGTGTGAGTGTGCTGGAAGCCTCAAGAGCAACTGGTTATAGAACCTCTCGGTGGGACACTTGGGTTTCTGGCGGAGGAAGACAACATTTTCCTGGACATCAAGTCCCTCCGCGAGGCAATATTCCCCAAAGTCGCACCAACCGCCCCCTACAAGCTTCGACTGAAGCCGGCGACCCTGACCAAGCCCGTGTTTCGCGCAGAGGTGTTGACGCTGCGAGGCTGGGAAATTTCGCCAACAGCGGTGTATAAAGTGCAGGCGAACCGGGGTCACACCAAACAAGTACTTTTCTGGCGCGGGTTCATGGGTCAGTTGCATTTCCGACGGGTTCCTCTGTTTCACTGAAGATTGATTTGGATTCAATTACCAACTACGGCTACTGCCGCCGCACAGCGCGTAATCTAAGCAAAGCGGTAACCACTGACGAGCGTTCCCTCCAAATGGGCCAGTTTTCCAACACCGAGCAGTTCAGTGTATGTTGCTTCCCGGTGATTTGACGGTCTTTGAATTGATGCGAATTGATTGTAGGTTTCGTACCAAACTACCCTCAGCCACCTCGACCTCGGGGCCATTTTTAATGACCGTGCCCCCGATCCGCAGATGACCGGGGCTGCCGGCGTACGTCTAGTTCGGTGGTTCAATATTCTTTTTCGCTCAACAGAGAACCTCATAGTTTTTGGACGGGATTTCTCAAAACATAGACCCGGAGGCTCCAACGCGGTTGACGGTGGAAAAACGAGATATGGTTCGGAACCTGCAGGCGATTGTAGAGTTGCGCGTCATGCGGGATAAGGTATGTTCATCATTACTTTTTGTCTCCTACTTTAAATGGTGGTCCCAAGAGCCGCACAGAAGCCGAGCAAGAGCTGGCGTCGATTGACCCCGACGCGGTTTCAGAGGAGAAGCGGGTTGCCGTCGATGCGCTCCGCAAGATCGCCGCGGAGGCCCAGGCAAAATACTCCAATCGCCTCAATCGCGAAACAAGGCTTCAAATTGATGCAGTGCGAAAACGGTACTTTGACAAGCACCCTCTGCGTCAACTCACCGGCGAGGTGAGTTCACCGATTGTTTCTCCTTGTCGTTGTAACCAAAAATTACTCAGCGTCCCACCGTGCCCACACTTTCTACGCGGGTGAAGGCGTCGAAAGAAAATAAACAAGCGCCGGCAGCTACCTCGACCTTTATTGATCCGCAGGCAGATCTTATCGAGATACTTTACAATTATGCAACCCTGGACCTCCACCAAGAGCTCATCGCTTCTATCAACGCTCTCCGCGGTCTCCCCGAGCGGAAGTTCCACCCGTGTTATCCAGGAGAGTCCCTGACCATCGAAGGCAACTGTCCTATTTGCGAGCACACTTCGCGGTACGTGCTTTCACCTCGCCATTTCCTCCTTAGTCACATTCTGCCGACAGAACGATTCATGCCCCGATTGGAGAACACATCCACGACTGTACCGGACGCGACCTGCGGCGCCAAGTTCAGCAAAAATTACAAAACGATTTTACCACTAACCCCGTTCAATGCGAATGGAAAGGATGTCCGAAGAAAACGCGGTTCACCGACCGTGATCAGTTTCTCGCTCACGTCCTCCAGCACCTCAAGATGACAGAAAAATGTCTTTGGCGAACGAGTTCCGACAGCATCTGCGGTGAAGTCAACTCTCATGATTGGCATCGGCACTTTGGGCAATTTCACGACGTCAATTTGTACCCCACAGTCGATGTGGTATACTGTGTGATGTGCGCACAGTGGCAAGTAGCATTACACGAGAATCTTTATTGTGGTCTCATTACCTCTCTCAGGTTTGTGGACGAAGTCGGTGACGGCGACATGTGGGATCATCATTGTACTCAACATTACGCTGAAATCGCTCAAGCCTACGAGGTTCGCGCGGTCGGGGAGGTTGACCTTACCCCCGTCGGCGTCTTCTTCGTCAATGGTTGCGTCGAGTTCGATTTCGGTTCCAGTTTCGACGGATCACAGCCCGATCTCCATGGCCATATTCAGCGTGGCGTGGCGATGGCGCCGATGCTTTGCCCGTTTTGTCTGTTCGATTCGACCCTCGAGATGACCGAGAGGATGGTCCAGTAAGTCTATCATATACTTGCTTAGTTTGTCCTCTCATTGAAAGCCACAATAGATGGATCAAGCTCCCCCACTTCAAATCCCACCTTGAGGGACACCTGGGCGAGGACGATGTGATTTGTCCGGTACCAGCATGCGGTTCCAAGGTGTTTACTGAATTTGATCTGGTGATGCATCTCGTCGCCTTCCATCGCCTCCCCCTCTGCGGATCGACCAATCATACTGTCGCGCGGCGTCTTAGGCTGCCCGTCGCGCCTTCAGACTCCCCTACCCCTGTCGTTGATTTAACTCACTCCGTTGTGGATCTTGCCCACTCCGACGACTCCATGGATGTTGATTCCCAACTTTCTCCGATGCAGAAGGGTAAGCGGCAGCTCCCCTACGCCTGCACCCGCTCCCGCTCCTACCCCTGCTCTTCCTCGCGGTCCTTGCCCCGGATCCCTGCAGGTATCCCCAAAGCGCAAGGAGAAGAAACGCGTGCACATGGGCAGTCCATCTACGCCCGCACCCGCACCCGCACTCGCACCCGCCGCCGCTCCCGCCGCACCCGCCAGCAAAATATGGGCGCATTGCGTCGGCTGTCGGATGGGCAAGAAGGATATTGTCGAGCATCTGCTCAACGTTCCGCAGAGCAGCAAGTGCCGGGCCCGTTCGCGCTACGATATCATCAACAGCAATGGGAAGCGTACAGGTGTTTTTGTGGATTATCAGTTGCTCCCGGTGCGTTGTGGTCCTTGATATTGGATCATTACTTATCCCGGTTGCAGGGCGCTAACCCGGACGGGAATAAACAGGCGAAGACTGGGAGAGACCACTAGTGTCTGGGATGCAACACGGGATTCTTCGATAGTTGCATGCATTTCAACGATCCGACGTGTACCTGCAGCAAGGACAAGTTCAGAGTTCGGGATCCTCTTGCCAAGTCGGCGACTTTTGGTCCGATCCAGCATTACGCTGTATGGATACTAACCGCACCTCCGCTCAATGTCGAGGTATTTTTTCCGTCTTAATTTCGTACTCGGTTGATTAGTGTTCTTGTTCCACAGGGCATCGCCGAACAAGCGCGGCCCAAGAACAAGGGGGTTCGTAGTGCACCGGTATGTCTCTCATTTTTAACCCTCCACTAATCAATGACGCCGGTCCTCCTAGAAAAATCAACGATGCGAAGGCTGCAAGGGGGAGTTCGTGGATGTCACCATCCACTACCGCCAGCTTAAGAAGACGTCGCCGGTCGGGTGCCAGAAACATAGATTCAGCGAGCGCACCACCACGGGATGGGGACCTGCGATGGACTATGCGACACGGGCGACGAATAACGCGCCCGCCCCTCCCGCGCAGCCCGTGGCTTCGACCTCCAAATTGCCTTAGAATTGTGAGCTTTATACGACTTAGATATACTACAATACATTACTTGCAGACATGCCATGATACAATACTTGCTTTGATACGATAAACTAGGATAGACCTCGCTTTGATACGATAAACTACGATACACATTGCTTTGACACTTTACTTGGTAATTACGCGCCTAACGCTCTGAACGCTTAAACTGATTATTGCGTGCCACATGACAAGAAACAAATTTTAGTCCCCTATAAACTCGAATTACTTCTCCCGGCAGCAGTTTGTTGTAAGATCGTCAATGCGGGTTGTAGATACGGCGCGTCGACGTGTGTCGTTCGAATTGCTGGGGCTCGCGCTGTCGACATTGTGGGTATTGTGATATTGCCGACTGTGTGCGCGCTCCTTGACTGAGGCCGACACAGATGGACGTGAAGGGGTGAGGCGAGAGTTTGGGGGAGTTGGGCAGCTCGACGTGCTGCGAAAATCAGACGAAATATGTCAGCGAGGGCAAATAGGCACAGAGTCGAGTTTAATGAGATTTCTTTGTGGGTTTGTCCGTCGGGCGGGGTGATGGGAAGGCGGGCCAAGCCAGTTGCGGGAGGCGATCGAAACAGCGGCAGCGAGCGGGGAAGCGGGGAGACGGCGGGGAGAGCGTGGCAGCGTGAAGTTGATCAAAATGTACATCAAGGATGATTCCATGTTGGAGAATGTGTAAAATTTCACTGATTTCAGCAACTCCAAAACAACAACCGCTTTCAATTGATGGTCATGATCTGGAAGCACCTCGAGGATTTCGTGAAGCATAGGAGTGGTCCCGCGGCCACTCAGATGAGTGAAACGATTCAAGTAGCATGTACAGTAAATAACATCTTGTATGAGGATGAAGTCCATGCTGGAGGATGTTTTGAATATTTCCTAAGTTTAATGTTATTTGGCTCACGGTTTTGGAATCAGATTGAGTTCCCCGATATTCCCCGTGGAGCTCAAGCACCGTGTGACACGAGTAGAATACCTCTTGAGACATATCCGAGGGATCCAGGATTACATACATATTGTTGTTCTAGTACTTTAGGATTACACAAGTACAAATAGGAATATAATTAACTTGCACAACAACCCCCATGATCACCTCCTAAGAAAGAGTTGACCGGGGTCCGGTGTGACCGTTACTTGTCTCCCATAAACCCAGACCCAACAGATGCCTGAGTATGCGTACAACTACTCCGGCTGGCAAGCCGGGCCAGCGACTTGTGTGCTGGCAATGCACCTCCCCGCGATACTGCTGATAAGGCTCTATCACAGAGGCGAGCTCTCCAGCTCGTCTCCACCTCGAGTTCAGTAGCGCTGAGGCTTCGGCCTACAGCTGCACCTTGTTCTCATTTGACTTCACTGCTCACGAGAAGGCGGACGAA